TTTTTTTTTTTTTTTTTTTTTTTTTTTTTTTTTTTTTTTTTTTTTTTTTGTATGTGCTGTGCATGTGTGCCTGTGAATGTGGAGGCCAGAGGACAACCTCAGTTGTCTCTCAGGTATACCATTTGCCTTATTTTGTAATATAGGGTGCCTCAATGGCCCACAGTTCACTGGTTAGGGGCTATGTTGGCTGGCCAGAGGTTCCCAGAGATGCTCTTCTTCAGCACTGGAATTAGAAGGCATACCACCACACTGGGCTTTTCCAGGTGGTTTCTAGGGACCAAACGTGAGTGCTTACTAAACAATTTCCTCAGTAGGGTTTGTTTTCAGCCATTGTAAACACTTAACACAACAATGTGGCCTTAAGTAACTTATCTAACTGGAATATAATTTCTTAGCACAAAAGATTTATGTAGGTTGTTGTGTTATTTATTTATTTATCTATTTTCATTTAAACAAAAATATTTAAATACCCTTATGCTCCTAAGTTTTAATAGGTAGAATTTTCTGGTGGTGTACTCCAGGCTCAAAATGAACACTATGATTAGGAAGTGGCTAGATTCTAATGTAACACTGTAAGAAGGAAGAAAGACATTAAACTAAAATGCAACATTCCTTTATGCTATTAATTGTGACCACTAGATGGAATTCTCAAGCCAGGGCAGATTAAAACTCCATGACACAGTGGGTATCCAACACCTTCCACTTCTGTCTATAATGAAAAACAGGAAATTAAAACAGAGGAGAAGAGGTAAGGAGCTGCTTCAACATCTCTAGCATAGAGCCTCACAATGACTGTGGCCTGTGGGTAAATCCTGCTCTCCCTGCCTCGGTGAGTGCCTCGTGAGCGTGGTTTTCTCTCTTGTCAGTTCCTGAGTTGAGAAGGTGATGGTGTTTTATACAGTCACTAGAAGACTTAGAATTTACTCTGAATGGGAGGTGCACATGGAAAGTGCCAGGGTCACACTACCTTCAGCTGCAGCACCAAGTCCATTCTGTATTTGCCAAGAGGGTTGATGTCATTCAGAATCAAGGCAATGATGATGTCGATCCCATTAGATTCATGAGTGGCGATACAGGTCTAGAAAAGGAGATATCTGTAAAATGACATGCTATTTTGACATAACACTAGAACAGAAGACTTGAAACTTTAAAATACAGGTAGAGACAATGTTGAACATTTTAATTAGTTTTTTGGGGTGGGGATCTATTAATCGACTGGTACTGGTAAATGCCTCTGGACACAGAATACTAACACATTGTGAAAAATACCTATCTTTGACACAAAGAACTACAGAATTTCAAAGACAACTGGGTAAGTTAAAACCCTTCCAGTCACCAATACAAAAGGAGATTCTTGAACTATAAATTTTAAGATACAGTAAATCTAGGAGAACAAGAAAAAGGGACATTGTATGTGAATTTCACAAAACTCAGAGCAAATGCAACTGTGTGTCCTGGGTCATTGGAAAGTTCACAGGATTCTTGAACTTGAGTGTTTGTGGAGGATGTAATTGAGCAAAATACAAAACATCTGAGAGAGCAATGTGCATGCTCTGAGGGTGAAGGCCTGCTGTGTGAGGATTTCTCGCTCCATTTTATGGACGAAGCATGAGGAGTACTAAGCCATGAGGAGTACTAAGCCATGAGGAGTACTAAGCCATGAGGAGTACTAACTAAGCCACAGGAGTGACTTGAAAAAACTGACACCCTGGTGAGTCATCCAAGAAAGGACAGACCCAGCCAACAAGATGCGGGGCCTGGGCCTCCTGTCTCACCCAAGGACATCTGTGCAGAGGAAAGGTCTTCCTGTCCAACACTGACATTATATCCTGAGACTTCTGCTCATGGAAATATCTGCCAAACGGACCTTCCATGCATTTCAGAGCCTGGGGAATTATCCTGGTAGGGCATGCTATTTTATTATAAGTTTTTACTCAGAGAACCTACTTGGTTTCAGTAAAGTACTTTCAAAACCCAATTGCATTCTATTACCACAAAGTAGGGAACATTCTGACAGCCTTTTCACAAAACGGAAAAGTAGTGAAAGAGATATACATTATATGCATATTTTCTACCATAGAGAGGGTTTTATCAGCAAGGCCAAACTCTGAATGTGTGTATTTTGCATTGATTTTAAATCTGCAGTCAAGGATGTCTTTATCATTGTTGTAGGAACCTAACATCTAATCTTGAAAATACAGGAAAAACTCTTTTAGTGTCATAAACACATTACAGAGAAGGAAGTGATACCCTCATATGATCAACATATTTCCATCATATGAACCCATATCATATGAAGAATGTATATCATATTCGTGTTCAAAGGTGTATGTGCACACAGGCAAAATATGTGTGAGGACGGTCACGGAATCTGCAATAGGAAAGGTGACCTTTTTCACATCTCCTTTTTACACCAACCACTGATGCTTAGTGTCAATCACATCTTTAAAGTTTATGTCCAGAAATGATTGACATGGAGACCCCACCCTTAACTCTGCCTGTGCTGGCAGCTCCAAGATGCTTCGCAGATGCTAAACAACTGTCAAAACATCAGATGACCTCACTTCCTTACACGTTCCATCTTCTCCCATAACATCCTTAGAGCAGACCAAGGTTTTCTGGGAGACAGACATGAATGTTGGGTCTCTCACACATGCGTGTGTGCACCAATATCAAAAGTCTGACAAAGTCATCTGTTTTTCTGCAGCTCACTGATGGCAGCACACTAAGACACTAAGAGGTCAGGTGACCTCTGGGTCAGAAGCCACTTACCAGTAAAAGGACAACAGCAAGACCCACTTCATAAGCTCACTGAGTGTGTAACACCGGTATTAGACTAGCTCACTGAGTGTATAACATGGGTATTAGACTAGCTCACTGAGTGTGTAACACCGGTATTAGACTAGCTCACTGAGTGTGTAACATGGGTATTAGACTAGCTCACCAAGTGTTTAACATGGGTATCAAACCAGTTCACTGAGTGTGTAACTTGGGTATTAGACTAGCTCACTGAGTGTGTAACTCGGGTATTAGACTAGCTCACTGAGTGTAACTTGGGTATTAAACTAGCTCACTGAGTGTGTAACATGGGTACTAGACTAGTTCACTGAGTGTGTAACTTGGGTATTAGACTAGTTCACTGAGTGTATAACTCGGGTATTAAACTAGCTCACTGAGTGTGTAACTTGGGTATTAGACTAGCTCACTGAGTGTGTAACTCGGGTATTAAACTAGCTCACTGAGTGTGTAACTCAGGTATTAAACTAGCTCACTGAGTGTGTAACTCGGGTATTAGACTCCCCCCACACTGCTGCGGAGCCAAAACCCCAGCGAGTTAAGGCCACACATCTGGAGATTCCCAACAGAGAAATCTGAACACTGGGAAGAAGTGTGACCTTGCCCTCCTTTCAGTGACTCGTTTATCTTAACTATTTTCATGGGAATCTTCTTTGACAGTAAAATTTAAAATGGCCTAGCATTTGCTGTCTACAGGTCCACCTTTGTATGTTCTGTGAGAAAAGCAGCAATGCCTGGCAGGGTGAGCAGAAAGGCTTCACAGGTACACGAGGCTGCTCTTGCCTGGCCTGGCACCCTGCTCCTGAGTCAGGAATCCTGTCACATGACGCTCTGCTGTCATGGTTACCTGGTTTTCATGGCACGGGCCTTGGCAGTACTCGGTCAAGCTCTCCAGGGTCTGGTTGACCAAAGCTACGTTCTTCTCATTGATGTAGAGCCCCAGTAGGCCCAGGCCGCCCGTGGTGCTCCCACAGATGCAGTCCAGGAACTGGAGCGTCTCGCACACCAGGTTGTGGTTGGTCTTATTGTTCTGATTCCTCAAGAAGTTCTGGAAGGATGAAAGAAAGCGCAGCTGGAGGACTGAGAGCAGAACACAGGGAAAAGGTGCCAGCGATGTTCAGCGCTGTGTGTGAGCGTGTGTGTGTGTGTGTGTGTGTGTGTGTGTGTGTGTGTGTGTGTGTGTGTTCCTCAATGAGATTCCCTGCCACTATGGAATTCAACTGGTCTTTACAAGAAAGTGGGACAACTTGGGGGAGGGAAGGGCCAACAACAGAGAGGAGCGATAAGGGAACATAATGGGGTGTGACTACGTCTAAACATAATGATATGGATGAGAATGTCATAACAAAACTCATTATTTTTCGGAGGTTGTGGGGAGAGGCTGGGAGAAGAGGAAGGAGGGCAAACTACAGTTGGGATGTAAAATAAATAAAAATTTAAAAAACAAACTCATTATTTTTCAAGCTAATTTTAAAATTAAATAATATTTAAATATTGATGGACTAAGTTCCTCTTAAGAGAGGCCCCTTGGGTTCTAGCAAGAACACCTTCAGAACAGGTCATGGTAAACACTGCTCTGCTGCCATCATTTTTAACCTACAGAGGGTGGAGACAGGTGTGAGAAGGAGAAGGGGAAAGGCAAATAAAATGTTCAGGAGAGGGGGCAAACTTGCAAGTGAGCCATCCCGGCAACCCTGCATCTTCCCTGGGCAGCAGCCATAGTTCATGGCGTGGGAAACACGGAGGCCTACCAAGCTTTTCCATCCCACGTCTATGGATGATCCTAAATCTGTGCACACACACACACAGGAGAGATTCACTGCCTGTTAGCACAGAAAGTGTCATAGCAAAAGCCGGAGCATTATCCCTGCCAGCGGGATGGGTTTGGGGTCTTAGGAAAAAACTTCCATATGTACAGATAAGCATCAGCAAGCAATAAGTAATGTAGCAATACATGAAGTTACTAAATGGAACAGTAGAGACTCTATATAATGTGTACTCTCTGGATAGAAGGTTTACATGCATAGATCAATATTTGCACATAGAATTTTCTAGAAGAAAACAATCTGTTATTAGTGCACTTCCTTTGGGGAATAAGCTAAGGAGAGAAGAAGAGAAAGAAAAGGAGAGAGGGAGAAGATTTCCTATTTTAATATACTTATAGATATCTATTTATTTATTTGAATTTGTTTACTATTTGTTCTTCTTAGTGTCAAAGTAGTCTTCTATGGTATCTGAACCATACTTCCATGAATGACATAAAGTCAGACATTACATCACCTGCTCTGCAGTCTGCAACCTACACTACCAGGGTATATGAGTTAGAGCCAGCAAGTGGAACCCAGCAGTCTATGTACACACTGTCAGGGTACATGGATTAGAATGAACAGGCAGCACACCCTACAGTCTATGTTCACACTATCGGGTGAAGCACAGTTCTAATTAGTCTTATTAATAAAGACCTGGAGTCAGATATTGGGGTAAAGCTAAAAGATCAGAGAAGCAGAGCAGCAGCCACTAGAGACTTCTTACCTCTATGAATCCTCAGATTGAATAGGCTGAGATCCTGTCTCCACCAGACTTATATTCCTGTCTCCATCTCCCAGTTGTACTGGGATTAAAGGCATGAGCCTCCCAAGTGCTGGGATCAAAGGCATGAGCCTCCCAATTGCTGGGATCAAAGGCATGAGCCTCCCAAGTCCAGGGATTAAAGGCGTGAGCCACCACTGCCTGGCCTCTATGGTTAACTGGTGGCTAGCTCCACCCTCTTATCTCCAGGCTAGCTTATTTGTCAGAACATAAACAAAATATCATATAATTGGGCCAGGCGGTGGTGATGCATGCCTTTAATCCCAGCACTCAGGAAGCAGAGGCAGGCAGATCTCTGTGAGTTCCAGGCCAGCCTGGGCTAAACAATGAGTTCCAGGAAGGGCGCAAAGCTACACAGAGAAACCCTGTCTGGAAAAACAAACAAACAAAAAATATATAATTGCGTGTGTGGGTTAGAGTGAGCAAGTGTCAGTACACACTGCAGAAGCTTCACCTAAGCTATGGCAAGCTGGTCGACATGAGCCAGGCTCCCCCATCATTCATTCCAGAGCATCTCATAGCCATGGACAGTATTTTATCTGTCCTACCATCTCCTGCCTTTCACATCCCTTGTGTTTTAGACAACAGTGAGCACAGCTCCTCACTCTGCCACTTTCTGTGTGGACAGACATCCTTAGAACCAGATGACTTAGTGGGAATACAAGGTAGGAGATCCTAGGCAGGACCTACTGCAGAAACCTCAGCCAGTTCACTGTAACTCATTAATAAAATCCTTTGTGAACTATGCTAGCCAGTAGCATGGCTAAGCAGGCTGGCATGATGGCCATATGTCTTTCTTAGAAGCAGTCTACCAAATGGAAATTCTTTAGGTGAGCATTCTCACTCTCCCTCAGTCAGGCCAATCAAGATAGCTCCTTGCAAGTGCCTTTGCTATGGTGTCATGGGCAACATATATAAATAATGTCGGAGAGATAGTCAAAGTTTTGAGGCAGCCCTAGTCTACCTATCTGACAGAAGAAATGGTAGTGGTGGAGATATGATGTGGGCTACATTAATTTGCAAAACAATTTTCACTATTATAAAAAATGCTTTATACTATTTTGTTTCTAATGAAACATAAAATATGTTCAATATTGGGCTAAACAACTATGGATTGGGAAAGATGTAAACACCTGAGTCTAAAACCATGAAAGGCAGATGAGATGAAGATGATCTTCCTGAACAAACACCACAGAGGAGAGTAGACAGGGTTCCGTGGTGTGAAGATGTGAGTTCTAGACCACAAGACGGCAATGTGTGGATTTGTTTGTTTTGTTTTTAATGGATAAACATTTTTCCTCCTGTTTTTCTTCCTTCCCATTTCAACAAGGCATTGCTGTCTTTGTTGACCATTTCTCCAGAATTCTCTCATAAACTGCACATTAGTTTCACTTGGATTACCACAGCCACAGGCTACAGAGCTCACCCACAGGGAGCAGAGGACACACCTGTAGCTCCCGGTTGTGATTCTCACACAGTAACTGCAGGAACCTGAGGATGGGCCGCATGATGGTGATGGCGGGGCTCATGGTAACTTCCTCTGCGGACTTTTCCTCCGCACTTCCTGCTTCCGGCCCAGGGCACATCATGTCTATTTCCGGGTCCATTTCTCTTCTGTACACACAGTATGCTCTGGATGTGGCTGTAGAAGCCTCTGTTAGCTGCCCTTTCATTCCCTCTTTCAGATGAAGTGATGAATCTCTCACTGAAAAGCAAGCAGTAGTTGCATTTCTGAAGTAATTTTTTTTAACTAAAGGAAAATAAAAACCCCACAATAGGGATCCAAATTTTCCCACAGCTGAATTTTAAAATTACCTAACAAGAGGCCCAATAATTTCCTGAAAGGGACTTGATTAACAACCAAAAGTTAACACAGTGATCAGAAGAGAAGGTCTTAATACTTAGCCAATTTCAGAATTTTCTGATATATAAACGTATATCGCAAAGACATACACGAATGTGCACAAACATGTACAAATGACTTTACAAGTATATATTGAAGGACTGGAGAGGTGCTGCCTTACTGCTTTTCTATTCCTGTGGTAAAACACTATGAACAAAAGCAACTTGGGGAGGAAAGGGTTTATTTCATATTGTGATAGATATATCACAAGATGATAGATAGATAGATAGATAGATAGATAGATAGATAGATAGATAGATAGATAGATCACAATCTATCACTAAGGGGAATTAGGGCAGGACCCTGGAGGCAGGAACTGAAGCAGAGGCCATGGAGGAGCGCTGCTCACTGGCTTGCTCCTCCTCACTTGCTCAGCCTGCTTTCTTATTGACCCATCTGCCCAGGAGAGGCACTATACACAGTGGGCTGGGCCCGCCCACATCCATCATTATCAAGAAAAAGCCTCACCGACGTGCCTATAGGTCATTCTTATGGAGGCGTGTTCTCAACTAAGACTCTCTTCCCAGTCATGTCTGGCTATGTGTTAAGTTCACAAAGCCCAACCAGGACAGATAGCTTAGCAGTTAAGAGCCCTTGTGCTCCACCAGAGGACAGAGTCAGTTCCCAGCACCCACAAAGGCTACTCATAGCCTCCTATAGCTTCAGCTTCAGATCTGACACTCTCTTCTGGTCTCTGTGGACACCCACACACATGTGACACACACAGAAAGGACAAGAATGTGTCAAGAAACATATGTGTGTGCTCACACCTAAGAATTTCTATAGATCTCATGGAAAAAAATGATAACATCTCCACAGTTTGTATTTAACTGGCAATAACTTGGTTATTCAAACACAAACATTTTTATAAATTCTGTCCTCACAAAGTTTGGGCTGGTTTTCTTTGCTGCACAGAACAAGGACATCAAAGTCTTTCATGTTGCCCAGTGTCTCCACATCAATTAAACTCCATTTTAGTTTGGCCTGCAGAGTTATTCCAGGGTCAAGCCCTTGACCAAAATCCTCCATAGATGGAAGTCCACACTGGAAACACTGGGAATAATTAAACCCCCAAAGCTACATGAGATTTAAATACTTCGTTACGTTCTTCTCGCATGCCCCTCTCCCAGGTACTCAGGAAGCTCCTCACCTCTCATCCTTGGGCCTGAGGCCATGAGGTCATTGTCTTCATCCCTCTTTTTGCTCCCTAAGTCTATGGTGTTGACAGTCACTGTGGATCTGATCTCTTTCTGAGCAGCCTTCATCCGGTCATAAAGGACTTTGAAGAATTTTTCTGACTTTTTCTGTTCATGCAATTGCTGGTAAAAAGAATACTGTAGAGAAAGCATAGTTTAAAATATCAACCACCAAGACAAGAAAAATAGTGCTTTGTCCTGAAATAAACACAAGCCTTACAGATAAAAGCACAGTGTGCTGCCTTTTATAATTCCACAAATGAACAGGCTTTCAGTGTATCATTCCACTTAATATGTACTAATAACACATTATTATATTAATAATAACAGCTAGTATTTACCTAGCATCTTCCACTAAATTCTAACATATTTTATATTCTATTTGATATATTCTCCTGCATGTGTTTTTTTAATTATGAGTATAGTAAGTTGTCATAAGTAAATAATTCTTTTAGTCTAATATTACTATAAATCTGTGCATCGATTCAACACATTTATTGAAAGCCTACTATGCATAGGGTCCTATACTGTTGCTATAGACAAAACAAAAAAAGAAAATTGCCAGATTCCTACCCACATGAGTTTGTCACCCAAAGTGAAACATGGTCACTCACTTATGACTATCCTGTATAAATAAGGGCTCCCTGTTAGGTGACAAAGTTGTTTTTCTTGTATCTAACTGATAGAACATTAAAATTAGGATGTGTTACCATGACAACCCCACTCATGAGAACCCTCTGATAAATAGGTATTAAGTTGTTTTGCTACTTCATAAATAATGATTCTTTACATGTAGTTTAGGGGGAAATTGACTGAAAATAAACTCTAGTTTATCATCAATAATGATGTAGAAAGGATGAGGTAAGATGTACCTTAGTGAGATGGGGAAATACTGAGTATCTTAGTGAGAAGTGAGATGCATCTTAGTGAGACAGTGAGATGTACCTTAGTGATACAGGGAAATACTGACTTGTGGTTACCAGTTACTGTCTGCTTAGCAACTTTATGCAAGAATTCAGAAGTGAAAGGAGATGGAGGAAGAATGTACTCCAGAAGAGATGTACCTGATCAAGTGGAACCAGCCACATCCCCAAATAAAATGTGAGCAGGCAGGCTGGGGTTTCTGACAGCTGCTGACATGTTTTCCTAAAGAAATGCCTGGAGCAGGCCCGACTCTAGGCGAGACTCTAAACTCCAGGTGATACTCATGCCCGTTTTTGTTTCTTACATGTGCAGCATCTACACACAGTGAGTTTTACATAGCCTTCAGTGTCAGCTACATGTCTGTTAGGAGATGCTCCTGAACAGGAGCAGGACAAAAAAACCACTGTAACCATGGCAACTACACTGAACCAGCCCAGCTGGTCCTGATGTCTTGCAGGATAAATGCAGCATCCACAGACCTTTATGGTCCCACAAATTAAGTGGATGTTTGAGCTCTAATCTTTTTAATATAGCATGGCTGGAAGGTGAAAGGGTGACTGTAACACACGAGAAAGCTGCAGTCATGTCGCAGCTCTGTGAATTCAAAGCTTGGCAGTAAGGGGTCCATTCACACCCACCCTCACAGATACGTTCAACCCTTGTGATGAGTATGGTTTTCTCATTTCATGCACAGGATATTGACTGAAAAATGAGATGTTGTGAGGCAGAGGGATTTGCCACATATTATATAACCCATATGCTTAGCACTAAATCTAGGTTATTTATATAAATGATACTTTCTACAAACCAGTGCTCTACAGAATGGTGTTGGGTAGGTGATGACCAAATTATGTTCCACGGGTTAATCAGATGGCACAGCATCTATCCAAAGACGCCACATTATGGACAACAAGGAGTGTCAAAGGAAATACTCAAAGCTCTTTGCTGGACAAAGAGCAAAGGACAAATAGCATAACAGAGGGAAAATCTGCCCTATGGAGGAGAAGAAAGTCAGAGAAATGGAGAAAGGAGGGGAAGTAATGGAGTGAAGCCTAGTGCATTAACTTCCTTTCCAGTTTCTGTAAGAAATCACTCTGTCAAAAACAACAAGGAGACAGAGCTCATTCACACACAGTTCAAGGTTAAAGTCGACCATAAGAAGGAAGTCGTGGAAGCAGGAGCTTCAGGAAATTGGACACAGCACATCCATAATCAGTAATGAATGCAAGTACGCTTGTGCTCTGTCTGCCTTCTCTATTCTTACACAGTTCAGATCCCCTGCCTAGGGAATGGTGTCACCCACAGTGTGCAGGCCCTCCCACTGAACCAGCACAATCAAGACAACCCCACCACAGGCATATCTACAAGCCAACCTCATCTAGATCAGTCCTCACTGAGACTCTCTTCCCAGGTGACTCTGGATTATGTCAAGTTGACATAATCTCAGCTATCCCACTGAGAAAGACAAAGGCTCACATGTGGTGGTCAGTCCCTGTCACTTCCTGGGCTAAGAATATAGAAGGTTATCTCTGGGAAGGAGATATTCATTGTGACTTGAGGGTACAGAATCTGGAGCCAGGCAGCATGAACTCAAGTCCCAGCTCTGTCTCTATATAATCAAGGGAGCTTAGATCTGCCTGCTTCTTCTTTGGTAATCTAGGATAATACATATTATATCACAGGCTGTGGGAATTAGCCAAATTCGTGTATGTAAGAATGGTCCCTAATACTCAATAGCCTTTATGTTATAGTTTATTTCTTTTTTCTTTTTGAGACAGGGTCTTACTCAATGGCCCAGGTCAGCCTCAGGTGATCCCTCTGGCTCATCCTCCAGAATCCTGGGATTATAAGTGTGACCCACAATACCTAGCTTTCATTTCTCTCGTTATTAGTGTTTGAAGTTATAATTTCTTCTCATCTGCCTCCACTAACCCACATCTGGTAAGGCATATTGAGTGCAGGCAGTGACTCATGTAGTAAGGAAGAGATTCACTCTGGTCCAGAATAACCAGAGCAGGGCAGCTCAGATAACCCATGAACTAAATCCTGGGACTAACGGGAAACTAAGGATATTAAACTCAGGGCTGGAGAAATTGCTCAGTCGTTAGGAGCACTTGGTGCTCTTACAGAGGACCTAAGTTCAGGTCTCAGACCCACATGAAGGCTTACACCCTCTATAACTCTAGCTTCATGGGATCCAAGTTCCTCTTCTGGCCTCCACAGGCACTGCACGTATGTGGTACACTTACATACATTCAGGCACTCAACATACATACAACAAAGTAAATCTTTTTAAAAGTGTAAAGTTCCTATGAGATTGGCAGGAGTCTAGGGGGTGAGTTCTGTGAATGGGACATGTCCCCATAAGCTTGTGCACTGGCACGCTTGGTCCCCAGCCAGTAGCATCGTTTGTACAGTTATGGAGCTCTCAGAATCTGAAGCCTTACTAGAGAAAGTCTGTCATGAGGTCGGGGACTTAGAGGGTCCATCTCCCCACCACACTCCCAGTTTGCTCTCTCTGTTCCTTTGTGTGGATGGAGATGCGGTCCCTCAGCTTCCCACTCCAGCCACCTGCTGCTGTGCCTCCCCAGCTATCAAGAACTCTCCCTCAGGATGAGCCATAAGCAAAACATCTCTGGCTTCCATGAGCTGCTCTGGTCATGGTGTTTCATCGCAGTGGCAAACAGCATCCAACACAGGGAGGGGCAGACTCGGCTCTTCTGATCTAGACCTCTCAAAGCCACAGCACACAGCTGACATCTGGAGCATCATGACCTACCTAAATCTAAACCTAAACAGCAGAACCTAGAAAGTGAGGTTTGCTAACCCACAAGAGGATTTTTATGCACAGATTTGTATAAATGCTGTTTCTTTAACAGGTAAGTGTGACTCTGGTTTTCCTCTTTTTTCTGCATGAGAGATTGAACCGACAGCCTCAGAAATGCCACACACATGCTTACTACTGAGCTACACCCCAGCTGTCCTTTTACTTTTAAATGTGTGACCTGCTTTCATTAAGTTCACTAGACCAGCCTTGTGCTGTGGGATGGTCTGTATGTCAAATCTGTTGCTCTGATTGGTCAATAAATAAAACACTGATTGGCCAGTGGCCAGGCAGAAAGTAGGTGGGACAAGGAGAGAGGAGAATTCTGGGAAGCGGAAGGCTGAGGCAGAGAGACACTGCCAGCTGCCTCCATGACCAGC